AAAACCCAAAACATTGCCATTTTTCTGATTTCAATACACAGTGACTTAGGGGTTTTCAAAGCCATAAATATTTAACTTTATTTTGTCATTTGAGTGAAAGTTTACCAAACATATTGGGGTTTTATTCAATAATTCCTATATTTCCTGCTTTGTGACATCCTTCACAATCCCCACAACGACATTAATCACAATCCCAAACTTTACCACTTTCTCCCTGTGCTTACTGTTTCCATTCACCCTTCTTTCATGTCCCTTCCTGCTTTCTAAGCTTTATTATTGTTGTTGTTGTTGTGTACTATCAAGGTTGAGTCAGAACCCACCCATAGCTGACTCTCCAGTGGATTTTTGGAGGTAGTCTAATTGCGCAGAAGGAAATTGCCCATCTTTCTCCCATGGAGCAGCTGGTGGATTTGAACTGCATGCCTTGGGGATTGTAGCTCAGTTCCTTAACACTAAGCCACCAGAGCTCCCTCAGCTTTACTCCAATGCAAATGCCATCCTATTGATCTTGTATAGCTGATTATTCCAAGAATCTCATATCCTCTTGTTGTCATTGTTTACTTTATAGGCCTTCATTGTTTACTTTATAGGCCTGTCCATTGTTTAGCTAAGTCAGGCCCTAAGGCAAGGATCATCTAAGTCTTTCCAGAAGTAGATTGTCACATATTTCTACCCCAGAGTGATGGGTGGATTTGAACCAGAGATCTGCTGGTTAGCAGCCGAGTACTAGTCACTACATTAGCCAAAAAAAGTGATTACTATTATCCATAATTCCCAGAAGTGCCTCATAGCTGACCCTCTTTTGGGTTTCTGAAGCTATATATCACACAGGAGACTGTTCATCTTTCACCCATGGAGCTACTGGTGGATTCAAATGGCCAGAGACATGCTGGCCTTGGGATCAACAGGGGAACTTCCCCTTGGACCACTCCACCAGAGCTCTCTAACTTTTTTTTTTTTTTTTTTTTTTTTAGCTCTCTAACTTTTGTGAAGCTTACTTTCTAAAGACGTTAATACTTAGGATAAGTTCCTTCAAAAATAGAAAGAATCTTGTTCTTGTGAGATTTAGGAGCGAGCTGACTGGAATGACTCGCTGTCCACTGCCTTTCCCCATGAAGCACTCTGATGCAACACAGGGCCATCATATAACAATCATCATAAAATGTTTTAAAACTGTAAACCAATAGCTACCCATTTGACTAGTATGAAGGCACTGGAGGGAAAATGCTAGTCCATTAACTGCAAAGTTGCTGGTTGATTCTGATTGGACTCTTTCAAGGCTATTCAGAGACAAGTCACCCATGTACACAACAAGATGCAAGTAAATCTCAGAGATCATTTCTGTACTCAGCTCAGGAAAAAAGTGAGGGATAAGAAGATCGGCCAAAATAGCCAAGACTATTACCTGAACCAGCAATTGTGCAATTACAGTATAAGCGATTATTTCATCCTTTATGGCAATACCACCAGCGTCTACATTTTGGGAGCACATGAAGGCCAGATGCAGAAATGTTCCAGAAGAAGGAAACAGGGGCTTTCATCCAAGTCAAGGGAAATCCGGGAGCAGTATTTACCTTTTCGCCTCACTCTCAAAATCAAAGCCGGCTACTGTCGATATCGTCCCGGTGCTGTCAACAGCAAAGCCAGAGCCCTCCGGGGAAACGAAGTACTGTTTGTTGGACAGTAAAAAGAAAGCAAAATGTTACTGAGACTCCAGCTGGCTCCCTAGTGAGATTCTGCGTGCCACAATAACCAGGCCTGAAACGTCTCTATACTGTGATCCTGCCTCCCGCCTACCCTGCACGTGACTGCTGCTCCCTAAATGTTTGTGCATAAAGGTGAGGAGGAAATTATACTCCACTAGACTGCCTTCAGTACAGACAGCCTGCCCTTAATTAAAAAAAAAAAATCTACTTATCTCTTTCATTCAGAATCATGCATGAATGTTTCACATAGCAAAAAGTAAATATAAAGGGATTATGTGGGGGATTTGTAGGGCCCTGAAACTATTCTGGTAGCCTAGTCAGTAAGGAGTGGTGCTGCCAACCCAAAGGCAGGTAGTTCAAATCCACCAGTTGCTCTACAGGAGAAAGATGGACAGTCCCTTACCAAGGGACTTACAGCCTCTGAAAATCCAGTGGAGGGTCAGCTATGAGGCAATAAGTTTGAAGGTTTGTTTGGAGTTGTTTTGTTTTTAAAAAAAACAAAAACAAAAACAACAACAACAACCATTCAGCATGCTTCCATAACATCTTGCAGTTGTTAGGACCAATAGACATGTACTACACAATCAATACAATCAATGATCTCTGATGTAAGCCATGCCATTAATCAATAGTGATGTATCAGCATTGGCTCATTAATTGTAACAAATGTCCATATACTAGTGCCAGATGTTAATAAGAGAAACTAATTGCAGGGGAAAGTGAGTATTTGGAAACTCTGTACTTTCTGTCGATTTGTTTTCCTGTGAACTTGAACTGCATTAAAAATGTTAATCTTAAAAAAAATGTTTATCTATTAATTCTTAGAAATTAATTTAAAATGAGTTGCCATTAAAGAACCAGCTGGCTGACAAGAATTCATGGATTGTTTGATAGTGGTAGGAATAGAAGGAAAGCAGCTATCCGAAAGAAAATTACTAAACCATTGCAGTATTTTTTTATCTTATTTTGTGTGTATAAGCAGAGGTCATACTTTATAAAGCTGTTTCTCTTAATATTTTGTTTGCTTTTGTTTATACTACCTTCTATGTATGTTGCATGTTCCAAATGTATTGTCTTAATTTTCACAGCTCTGTCATTGGTACGATGTAACTCCCATTTCACAGAGAAGAACACTGAGGCCTTGAAATTTCAAATGAGATGACCCTAGTATAAGAGGTGGGTTTTGAGACACTTTTTGTTAATGTGTCTCTTTCTCGCCACATAACATCTTTCCAATGAACTTCTAAATGAGATTTGTCAAAGGAAGCAGGGAAGACCACGGGTTCTGAACTAGATGAGCATCAAATGATTAGAAAAAGCTGAAACAAAAATCCATGAGAAGATGAATCCCAGGGCTTAATTATACCAAGTGCCGCTGACTTAATAATGTGTAGAGGTAGAGATAATTTAATAGAGATGATTAAACCCAGAAGGATTGCAAAGCAACCTGAGAAATTGGTGACCTTTTAACTTATTAGTTTTTCTAATGCATTATCATGTTCCGATTAATTTTCACTCATACCACCCATTTTCTGTATATATAATTAAGGCACATTTAAAAAGGCAGAATTTATTTCGGCCCTTTCTGTAGAACAATGTCACAGAATAGCAGCATTCATGAACTGCAGGCAAATCCACAATATATTTACTTTTAAGGGAAACACAGGAATGAAGATACCTTCTTCATGACAGAGGATTGAGCATGGTTGGGATTAAGCTCCTTGGAAGAGCCCACAATCACTCAGTCTGGCTATCTATAAGTGTACAGAAAAACTCCAAGATTTCCATCTTGTTTGTCTTTTGAGCCACTCAAAACTTTACAGTTTCAAATTCAATGTCAGTGTTGCAAGGTTGTCAATATTAGCTCAAAAAGATTGTCAATTTGGAAGCTATATTTTTATGAGAGTGAATGTTTCTTAAAATGAGACAATCTTTAAAAAAATGAGGGTACTGATATGAACAACGCCTTCACTTGTACAAGGAAGGCTTAGAGACTGTGGTTGCTAGGCAGCCGGGGCATCCCTGGAATGTCACCCAAATGAATGAGACCCTGAACAAGAAAGCAGTCCACAGGACAAGAAATTAACTTTCTCTGGGGCCAGGAATTTAGATTTATAGGTCCTTTTAAGGATTTCTCCTTATTCTATCTATTATAGTCCATACTAATAAGGTCATTGAGAATTGAAATTGACTTGACCACATCTAACAGCAATCTATAACAATATCAACTAGTAAATAAATGCTTAGGCTGTGAGAACAAGGACAGCCTCACTCCTGGGTTCTGACGCATGAGAAGAGATTATAGGGAGAATGTGGTGCCTTCCAGGGGTGCCTTTCAGACCTTCTGGATGGACTTAACTCCAGAATTCACTTTATCCTCTTCTCAGAAAGGCTTGTTTGTGACTATTTGCTCACAGTGCAGCTGAGGAATCAGAGAAATGTCAGAGCCCAGATTTCAGGCCAAATGTAAGGAGGAGAGTGCCTGCTTCTCTGGTAAAGTACAAGCTTCCTAGCATCATGCTTTGAAAGCAGCTGAACTCATGGGGAATTAATTCTTCTGTGTTCTTAGTGTCAGTGATAAGAAAACACAAGTGATGGCTATCAGTCTGACCCAGATTCTGGTCTTTGCATTTTTTAGAATTATCTCAGGAAAACTTAAAACAATCCTAGGACATTCTTAGTACTAAGGATAGGCTAATACTTTTTAGCTTTCTCTGACAGAAGAAATTGAATTGTACACGTTAAGTGAATGGCCCGAGAACATTTAAGCACTGGATGGTTAAGCTGAAAGTTGGATTCCTTCGGTGACACACCAGTTAATATACCTTCTACTAACCAGAAGGTTTGAGTATCTCCAGAGATGCCTTAGAAGCAAGGCCTGGTAATTTCCTTTGGGGAAAGTCAGCCTGTGGGGCACAGATTTACTTTGACACACATGAAGTCACCATGAGACAAAATCAACTGAACAGCAAGAAGTTCTGTTTGGTTGAAACTGAAACTCCAAACCAGGCCTCCCTGACTCCAATCTAGTTAGTACTCGGTACTTCTTGTCTCACAGGAGACTGGCTTCCTAGAGCAAACTCACACTCACTGCCCTTCCTTATGATGTCACATAAAGGTTAAGTTTTGCTTAACTCAACTTGGGATATTTTAAACCATTTCATATTTCAAAGCACTAGTGGCCTAGTGGTAAGAAGCTGTCCTGATAAGCCCAAGGCATGAAGGTTCAAATCTGCCAGCTGTTTCTCAGGGAAAAGATGAAGAATTTCCTCCTGTGCAATTTAACACTTCTAAAAACCCACAGAATGGTCCTCTATGAGACACTTCCAACTTTATAATACATAACAACATCAACATAAGGTAGAAGGATGGGCAATCTCCTCCCATGTGATTAACTGCCTCTTGAAAATCTGCTGAAAGGTCACCGATGGATCAGTTCTGATTCTATGATACACAACGACACCATAACATATGAATAAAAAAGTTAGAGATGACTAGAAAAGATCAAAGAAGGATTGATGGCTTGGATGTATGGTGTTAGTAAAGAATACTGAATACTATGAACTACCAGAAAATCAAGTAAAACTGTATTTTAATTAAGTGTAGTCACTTTCTGTTAATATGCTGTACTGACTGAGGTAACCTGGGGTTGCTGTGATGCTGAACCTTGTGCCATTGGTGTGTCAATTGCCATAAAGGTTACCCATGATGGACAGTGTTTGGTGGAGCTCCCAGTTTAAGACAGGGTTGAAAGCAGAAGTGACATCCACTTCCTAAACATGCCTCTGGAAACTCTATGAACTTTGATAAATGACAATAGTTCTAGAAAAG